CTAGGTTTGTACTTGGTAATTGAATCAACGTGGTGTCCGTTCATCGCGCGTGAAGCTATGTTGAATGATGAATATATATATCCTCATTGCGTAGCCCAGATACTACAAATGGTAGTAGTGACAATGTTGTGGAGAGTGACTAATTTCTTGTTACTAATAATACTAGCAGTAGCTTGACCATTGTCCTAGAAACAGGCCATATAATCACACTGACGCATGGAAGTATGACACTGATTTAAGTCCCACTATCTCCCATCTCCAAGAGCCATGATCTTGAGAACTGATTCTTTATCTGGGATGTTATCAGCATCCGTTATCGCATTCGGTCTGATCGGTCCGGCTGCCCCGATCCGGGGGTGCATCGGGCCGACACGTGACCTCCAACCAATGAACGATTGCGGACATAGAGGGAGGTCCGGTGACGACAGCGGAATGGCTTATCGCATCCCCCAGTTATTTTAACCTGGGGAATGCCCCTCCATCCATCTTGTAGTTGAAAACAGCCATTGATACCCTTTTCCCTTTCCTTCTTGTTCTCCTCACTCCTCCCTCTCTCCTCTTCATCCTTCTTCACCCTAACCTTCATCATGCCCGGGTCAGACAAGATCACCATCTCCATCGATCGCGGTGGTACCTTCACTGACGTCCACGCCGTGGTCCCGGGTCGCCCCGACATCATCCTCAAACTACTCTCCGTCGACCCCGGTCACTACGAAGATGCTCCGACGGAGGGAATACGCCAGATTCTTGAGCTCGTCACCGGCGAGTCACACCCGCGAGGCCAGCCGTTGAAACTCGATCGCATTGGGAGCTTGCGCATGGGTACCACAGTCGCTACAAACGCGCTGCTGGAGCGTAAGGGAGCCCGGTCCGTGCTCCTCACCACCAAAGGTTTCCGTGACCTACTGAAGATTGGCGACCAATCACGACCAAACATCTTCGATCTCTCAATGGCTAGACCCGGAGTTTTGCCCGAGCAAGTGGTTGAAATTAACGAGCGTGTCGTACCATGCCACCCTCTCGCCGACAAGGACTGCTTTCAGAATGCTCGCATAGTGGAGGGAACAACGGGTGAAAAGTTCCGGGTAGTACAAGAACTAGACATTGAGGAGGTGCGTCCAGTATTACAACAATTGAAGGAAAAGGGTTACCAGTCCCTTTCGGTTGCTCTCGTCCACTCGTTCGCATATCCTGAGCACGAGCGCATCATCGGGGAGCTGGCTGAAAGCATGGGCTTCTCGGTTACCTTGTCTTCCAAACTCCAGCCCATGATCAAGGTGGTTCCCCGAGGCATGTCTGCCGCCGCAGATGCTTATCTGACGCCTGTCATCAAAACCTACATTGACTCAATATCGGCTAGCTTCGAGGGCGGGCTCGAGAAGCAGCATGAATGCCGATTTGAGTTTATGCAGTCTGACGGTGGGCTGGTCGACTTTCGCAGATTCAGCGGGCTGAAAGCGATCTTGTCGGGACCTGCTGCCGGTGTGGTTGGCTTTGCTGCGACGAGCTGGGATCCTCAGGAGAAGACCCCAGTGATCGGGTTCGATATGGGTGGTACATCAACCGACGTGTCACGGTTTGACGGTCACCTCGAGCACGTCTTCGGATCCAAGGTGGCCGGTGTCCTCATTCAGTCTCCTCAGCTCGACATCAATACTGTCGCTGCTGGCGGTGGTTCTATTCTGTCGTGGCGCAACGGTCTCTTCTACGTCGGTCCTGAATCAGCGTCAGCTCACCCGGGCCCTGCCTGCTACCGCAAAGGCGGTCCTCTGACCGTTACCGACGCCAACTTGTTCCTCGGCCGACTGCTTCCGGAATATTTCCCTCACATCTTTGGACCTAACGAAGACCAGCCTCTTGACATTGAGATTACGACTAAGCTTTTCAACGAGTTGACCCAAAAGATTAATACTGAGAGAAGAGGAAAGGGCCAGTCGGAGTTCACTGCGGAGGAGGTGGCACTAGGCTTCTTGAAGGTTGCGGATGAGTCGATGGCTCGCCCCATTCGCAACCTGACGGAAGCTCGCGGTTTCGAAACTGCATCCCACCACCTGGCATGCTTTGGCGGTGCTGGTGGTCAGCACGCGTGTACCGTTGCAGCGTCCTTGGGAATTTCCCGCGTCATCATCCACAAGTTCTCATCTGTCCTTTCGGCGTATGGCTTGGCGCTGGCTGAGGTGGTTAAGGAATCGCAAGAGCCGGTCTCTACGGAGTACTCGACCTCCCAGTCCACACTTGACAAGCGCTTCGAGGACATGATCAAGGCGTCTACTGAAGATATGCAGGAGCAAGGCTTTTCGGCCGACCAAGTTCGCCACGATTTGTATCTTAACCTGCGCTACGAGGGTTCAGATACCAGCCTGATGATCCTGAAGCCTGAGGATAACTCCGATTTCCTCGAGCAGTTCCGTGCCAGACACCGCAGAGAATTCGGGTTCAACTCTGACAGATCGGTTCTAGTTGATGATATTCGAGTTCGCACAATTGCCTCTTCAAAGGTTCGGACGGAGAAGAGCCCCCTCGTACAGCTGAGGGAGGCTACCCTGAAGGATGTCAGTGGAGGTCCGGACAACACCTCGAAAGCATACTTTGACGGGTACTCTGAGCGGATCGATACCCCTGTGTATCTATTGAACAAGCTCGAGAAGAATACTCGTGTGCATGGCCCTGCCGTCATCATTGACGAAACACAAACCGTCGTGGTGGCCCCGAATGCCGTCGCTAGTATCCTGGAGACCTGCATAGTCATCGACCTCGAGGAGCTCCCTCATGTCAATGGTGTTGAGGGTGGATCCTCAGGTATTGACCCGATTCGGCTCAGTATCTTCGGCCATAGGTTCATGTCAATCGCCGAACAGATGGGCCGCACGCTCCAGAAAACATCCGTATCTACAAACATCAAGGAGCGTCTTGACTTCTCTTGCGCTCTTTTCTCCCCCGATGGAGGTCTTGTTGCCAACGCGCCGCATGTTCCGGTGCATCTTGGATCCATGCAATTTGCGGTCCGCTACCAGCACCAGAAGTGGCTCGGTGATCTGCGTGACGGTGATGTATTAGTCGCAAATCACCCTAGCAGTGGTGGTACACATTTGCCCGATATCACTGTAAGTCTACCATCCGCTCTTCAATCGACTACACAGCTAACCGCGATAGGTCATTACACCCGTCTTCGACCGACCGGGTGGCACCGAGATCATGTTCTATGTAGCTTCCCGTGGCCACCACGCAGACATTGGTGGCATCCTCCCAGGCTCAATGCCACCAAAGTCTACAGAGCTCTGGCAGGAGGGTGCTGCAATTGAGGGAGACAAAATCGTCAGCAATGGCGTCTTTGACGAGGAGCGTATGATGGAGCTGTTGGTCCACAAGCCGGCTCAGTACCCAGGCTGCTCCGGAGCTAGATGCGTCAGCGATAACCTGTCTGACCTGAAAGCACAAATTGCGGCCAATACCCGTGGTATCTCGCTGATCCAAGCGTTGTTTGCGGAATACGGCGTTGAGACGGTGCAGAAGTACATGTATGCCATCCAAGCCACAGCCGAGACAGCCGTCCGCAACCTTCTCAAGGATCTGCACAAGAAATTTGGTGGTCAACCATTGGAAGCAGTCGACTACATGGATGACGGCACGCCTATCAAGCTAAAGGTCACTATCAACGGCGAGGATGGTTCCGCTCTATTCGACTTTGACGGTACTGGCCCCGAGGTATACGGCGGGTGGAACGCACCCATCGCCATCACCCACTCGGCCATCATCTACTGCTTGCGCTGCATGATCAACGCAGACATGCCCCTCAACCAGGGATGTCTGGCACCTATCGACATCCAGGTCCCCTCGCCTAGTATCCTGTCCCCCACCAAGTCTGCCGCTGTGGTCGGCGGAAACGTGGTAACCTCTCAACGCATCACCGACGTCGTCCTCAAAGCCTTCCGCGCCTGTGCTGCCTCCCAAGGCTGCTGCAACAACTTGACCTTCGGCACCAACTCCAAGCGCGACCCCGAAACCGGCGAGACTATCCCTGGCTTCGGCTACTACGAGACCATCGCTGGAGGCAGCGGTGCCGGTCCTACTTGGAGCGGAGAATCCGGTATCCACGTACACATGACCAACACACGTATCACCGACCCGGAGATTCTAGAGAAGCGCTACCCCACACTGCTCCGACAATTCACCCTTCGAGAGGGATCCGGCGGCAAGGGAAAGAACCCTGGTGGTGACGGTGTGGTTCGCGATATCGAGTTCCTCTCTCCGATGGAAGTGTCTATCCTTTCCGAGAGGCGTGTATACCGCCCGTACGGACTCGAAGGCGGCGAGGATGCACAGCCTGGAATGAACCTTTGGGTCACAAAAGATGTGGATACGGGCGTGGAGCGCGTGGTCAATATCGGAGGAAAGAACACTGTGTCTATGAAGACGCACGATCGCATTGTAATCAATACTGCTGGTGGAGGTGGATGGGGAGCTGTATCTGCATGAGGGGTTTGATGTTTTATTATGTTTATGTGAGCATGTATGGGTATTAGCTTATATGAATTGTATGATTGTTATATTATCATTGACGAATAAGCTTGTTTCGAATACTGTTACAAGGTTCATATACCTATTACCTACTGGTCAGAGTTAATTATGGAGTGCTCCTGCTCCCGCATGATCTCGTTGTGAGTTGTAACAAGACTGATACGACGCCAATGTGACAAAGTCATGCATGTGGAAAGGCAGGGCTTCGTATCATCCAGAAATGACCTACTTGGCTAAGAAACTTACTTGGTAGTGACTTCTGTAGGGTACAGTTTCAATCGAAGGGAAAAAAGAAGTGAAAAAAGGAAAAAAAAAAGGGGGGGGGGGGGGGGGAAGAGGAAGAAGAAAAGGAAAAAAATTGAAAAGGAAAGATCTCCTTGAAGGCTTAAGGTGAGATGTCTGCTACTATGGAAATATAGCCAAGGGACGACTACTCCGAGGGTGATACAAAACTTCGTGTTCATAGTAGTAAGCAGTGCTTTGCGCGCATATGTCGGTTTCATTATTAGCTAATGCAGCAACTACAGTGGCACACCCCTAACATCGATCGACACTTGACTTGGAGCACTACCTGCCGAAGTCCGGTCCGAATCATAATCCGCCTCTTCGTTTACAGCATCAGAATCTCTTGTGTCATGCGCGGGAGAAGGATGATGTCTATCACTGTGTGACGTATCCGATACCACGACCTGAGCTCGATAAACAACCACCTCTTCGTCTCCTTTGCCATCGTCATCGCCCTTTCTCACTACCAAAGGGAAAAGAACTGAGCGAACAACAGCCTGTTCATTTTGTGCCTGTTCATCTGATGCATACACGCCACTCTCGTCATGCATCAACGAGGCGTTGAAGAAGATCTGACTTGTCAAGTTGCCTTGGCTGTCATACTCTGGCTGAAAAGGAGGCAGCATAATATATTCTGCCAATTGCATGCGCATTTCAACAGAGAGTTGCACAGCATGGCGTAATATCGCGTCGAGCTCCTCGCGCAGTCGAGGCTTATAAAGACTCCTTTCCGATAGTATAGACATCAGTGTATCGATAATAGTAATCGAAATAGCTTGTATATCACGTTCTTGCTGCTGCTTCAACTCGATATCCCGGGCTAACACAGACAATGTCGTGGCTCGCCAGCGATGGACTGCTTCCTGTGGCAGACTCTGCCCTAAATCCTTCTCTAGCCGCTTGATTCCTGAGCGTATTGGCCGTTCCAAGCCAAATAGATATCGCGTAAATATGATTTTCCATACCATAGTCATAATAACGGACATGAAGATATTTCGCCGGTGAAGAGGTTCGGCAAGAAGCGCATCAACGCCGTATCCATTCAGTATGGCATCGCGGAATCGATCACGAATATTTGCGGGATGCAGGTTACTAAGTGAGCGACATAGCACATCACTGAAGGGTTCCAAAAAATCGGAGACCCAATCGAAACACAGCCGAAAGAGGGTGTCCAATGAATCGTGGAAATAATCTCCCTTGTAGAGGACAATAGGGGTCCTCGGTAATTCGCCGGCGGAAGTAATATCCTGTGGGAGACTGAACTGGCTAAGAAGCATCCCAGAAAATGAAATGAATCCACCAGCTACTGCTCCGGCTTTTACGGCAGTTTCAGCCTTCTGAGCTCTGGCGAGCGGAGTTGCATTGAGATCAATATATCGTGACAGATCGTTTGACAGGAGCCTTTCCTCGGTCGCTGATGATGGCTGGAAGCCCGGGGGTGCAGACTCATTATTAGAGTATGAACCGGATCCAGCTGGTGATGACGACGGAGGATTAAGCGATGCAGAATCTTGGTGTTCATCCTCTCCATCTGTTGAGGGTTCGCTGTCAGATGGAGCTGGCAGTGGCGGTCGAACGGCCCAAGAATCATCATCATCAGAATCTGTAGGTAATGTGAGTGATAATGATGGAAGATGATGAGTGAGAGAGAATCGGCCTTCTTCTTCCTCGTCCACAGGTAGATCGCTATCAGGGCCTGCTGGCGATGGTGGCGTTCGAAAGGGTGCCGTTACAGCATCTTCGTTCTCGATGCTAGCTAGAAACACACCCATCATATCCTGGCTACTACTCAGATTCTCAGAGAGACAGTGAATTTTTTCTTCTGTCAATTGGTTGTTTTCCGTTGGCTCCTCGTCGTATTCCTTGATAGACAGATAGTCCAGGTTCCCTGGGTCAGACAACTCAATAGATCCTGATCCCACACTTCCAGTATCTTCCGATCTTCGAGTATCTTCCGATCTTGCTGTATTAAAATAAAGATGATCTTCATAATAGCCTCCATATTAGTCCCATTAGACTCAGAATCTCCTGGCGCCCATGGTAAGGATTTGAGCGAGAATGAATGCAGGTGCTCGGCAACATGGTTCAAAACATCGGAATCCAGGTCTGTCAGCTCACAGAGCGGACATGATCCGACTGTGACAGGTGTTTTCCGGCGCCAGGCTGAGACCAACATCTGTACTTGGTGAGGTTTGATACCCGTTGAGTGCATCTGTTCTAAGTGCTCAGTGAATGCCGATTCTTCGTAAAACGTTGGTCGCTCGCTCGAGTCATTGCAGGCGAGGCAAACCCAATGGGGAAAGCCGCCATGGTCGGTGAACATGTGCGACAGCCAGAGATCCTTTGTATGGTAATTTATTTCGGGGCGAGGGCAATCATCTAGAATACATGTGTAGGGAAGAATATCTTTGGAGAGATGTTTCCTGGATGGCCATATGATTAGCATTCATCCTGATGCTCAAGGAATCAATACATACTTCCACTGACTCCCTCTGCTCATGGAAGCTGGCAATGTCTGGCAACAGCACGGACATTGGAAGACATTTTGATCGGGTCTCAGTTGGGGAGGCTTGGGATACGTCACACGAGAGCTGATTGCAGATACGATTGTAGTCGCTGGTTGGGCACTATCTCGGGTCGGAAACGGGATTGGATCTTGTACTTCGGTTGCGGTCGTTGTGCTATACACTGTGGGCAGTTTAGACTCGTCCGTTGACCTTGCGACGGGATTGAGAATGAGTGGCTGCGGCGTTTTTCGAGAAGTGGATGTCGACTTTGCTGGGGCCGGTTCCATGTCGGACAGCTTGATTGTGTGACGCTGAGTATACAAGAATCGGCTTCTGCGCTTCAGGTTTGTCTTGATGAGTCGTCGCTGGATAACAGTTAAAGACCGCGGCTCAGACACTATGGTGCCATCTATGGACGAGACCAATAGCACACTATCCGAGGAGGTCTCTGCTTGTAGAGTGCTATTATATCTGGGTCTTGACAGTAATAGAAGCTGCAGATGGTTTTTCAAAGCCTTGACCTGCGGATGGCCAGGGTTATAAGAAGCATCTGCCTTTTGAATTTGTGCATGGATGCCAGCCTTGCGACTGGAAGTCATGATTTGATCTGATTGGCCTATGATGGATTTTACATCCTGTATGGCTTGATCTAACCCATCGCCGTGCCTGTCTGCTCCTAGTAAGAAGTCATTCTTGGTCCTTTCTGCTCAAAGTGATATCTTGGCTGTACCTGTCTCAACGCACTGTTCTACGAAGGCTCGCAGCATCTCTAATAGATTTACCACGAAAATCTTTGCGTCCGGATTTGAGGTCAGCCTAGTATCAAGGGATGCCTTTCCGACTTTCAAGGCCCCGGCTCCATTTGCCCACAGCTTCAAGTCGGCTAAACAATTTTCTGCCCATTCTTGGAGAGCAGGAACAGCAGCCGAGTGTCGAAATATCTGGTGACAGGCCAGTGTGGCCTCAATAATCGAAGGCTGGTCTGCCATAACTTGGAGACTATGAAATGGGCAGTTTCGTTCACACCAGATGGTTCTGCTTCTCCATTCGGGCTTAGTTCAACACGTGCTGCCAATTACCCCGCATCCGCTGACTGTTTCATCCAAACATTCTCGTTCTTATGTCGCACAAATCCAGCTCTATCATGCCTCATGGACGAGGAAGGTGTATTGAACCTGGGCTGTCAGGTTCTGCCGTGGATCAGCAACCAAGTCATTCTTGTAGGGCAACAGACGCGTAATACCGCTTATGGCATGTTGGGATGCGAGTTGTTTGTTCTATCTCAGTAGATCCCAGCTATCAGCGAGACAACCCTTGCGCGATAAAGATTGTTGAAGATATTCAAGATTATAGATAAAGCGTGCTCAGTGAGTCTTCTCACACGCGAAAACCTGATGTTGTGCACTAACCCACTACTCAGATGTCGCGGAATGAAGCTGATCGCTTTCAGGCTCTGGGCAGAATCCGCAGTTATAAAGATTCAACGAGCAATATTAGACAGACTGTGATCAGAGAGATACAGGAAAGCCTGACACATTTTGTCTGACACAGCCCAGAATATAATGCTCTCTTGCGACTAATTTCCGACTGTTCTATGGTGGAAGAGACGGAGCCGCTATATACGGAGGAATACCAGGACGTTAACGATATCGGATACTCAGGGTACCTGAACCAAGTCCTCTATACTCAGTTACAGACCTACGCTAAATGTGGCTGCTGCACTGTTCACTTGGAATCGACTCAACTGTGATTGAGTACTGACAATTAAATCTATGATAATGATATTTTCTTTGAGCTTGTCTTGAAGGCCAGTCCTTTCTTACCTACGAACTTTCCATCATTCGTGCAGTGGAAGGCGTCGATTGTGAAAGTCCCAAGGTGAGACAAAAGGCTCGGTTGGCAGTAAACACAACTAACGGCCGAGACTGAGTTGCGCAGACAGACTGATTTCCAGAAGAGCAAGAAGAAGGTTGGGTTTGCATCCTTATATTGTGATTTATTATCGCTGAAACGCAATAGCTCGCTCTTATCCCAAAGATTGAGACGGCTAGAGCGGGGGGAATTCTGTAAGTTGATCGACAATCGCCTTGGCAGGCCCGTGCAGTTTTGTATTCAGTTAAATATGCTGCAAGTGATCGAACCACCTGATCCTAAGCCCTTCTGTGGTATTCGCCCCATGGAAGGACTTTTACTAGGGTAATGGCTTGAATAAATACCTCATCTTTCAAAAAAGGTAAAGTCTCATCTAGCATATACTATTGCCAAGTCCGTCTGGCAGTATTATAATTCACCGTGGATGATGGTGCCCTGGACTCATGAAAGCATTCAACTGCTAATTGAAGAAACTGGTCTGGCAGATCAGGGAAAGCTACATCTATATCTGACAGCAAACATGGCCCGAGCGGTATTTACTTCTACGGACTGCTATAATGCCGATAATCTCATGCACTAATATCCATACATTCTAGCATTAGGGGTAATTCTTATTGAAATTGCTATTAAGTAGCCCTTGACAAGTGAAGAATGCCCTCATTCCTTCAGTGAAAATGTGGTGAATGACTACTATACGTGGGTGTGGACAACGGCACACAGAAGCAATTTGAGGGACATGGTGCATTCTATGTACGAGGAGGCTGTTAATAACTGTCTTAACCCTGAGCTATTTGGTGGCGACTCCACACAACAGTACAGAGATACGCAGCAGATAATGGCCCGACAGAACGTTTTATACTAGAAGATTGTTTCCCCATTGAAGAAATTGTCTGAAGCCTATCAAGATGACTGGGGTATCCAGAGCGATGCTACCGCAAAAACGCTCGGGACAGTCGCTCACCATGTCATTTCAGAGACTTTCATTGCCTCACAATTCCCCCATCAAGCAGATTTCACGGTCGCAATATTCTGTGCTTTACCGCTGTAGGTTGATGCTGTCAGTGCTTTGTTTGATGAAAGATTTGAAGACTTCAGCCTGTATCGGAATTCACCGGGAGACTCGAACACGTACACCCTCGGTCGAATAGGTTGCTATAAAACCGCATTGGTACATCTTCTGGGAATGGGAAAGAGTGTTGTGTCTCAAGCATCCTCCTTAATATGGTCAACCTATCCGAACATTAAGCTCGCCCTCGTGGTCGGAATCTGTGGCGGTGTCCTATATAAGAAGGGGAACAAAGAGATCCTCCTCGGAGATATAGTAGTCAGTGATGGGATTATCCAGCATGATTTCGGGCGAAGGATTCCTGGGGCATTTCTGCCCAAAGCATTGGTTGCCGATGGGTTGGGGCGGCCTAATGTCACTATAAGAGGTTTCCTCTTGAAGATACAGACATTCATGGTACAAGAGCGTGTTTCGAACACATTGAAGGAATATATGGGAGTTATAACCCAGACGCTTGGCAATGACAGTGCTTGATATCCAGGAGTGGAACAAGACGAACTCTACGAGCCAAGCTATCAACATAAACACCGTGGCAGTACTACTTGTATCAGATGCGCAGACTCGAGCAACACTACGGTCTGCGGCGAGGTGTTTGATCTATTATGTAATGAATTGGGATGCGGGAAAGAGAATTTTGTGAAACGGAAATGTCTCCAGGCTGCACTTAGAGAGGGGCATACACCTTCTCCGGCAATTTACCTAGGTCTCATTGCATCAGGGGATACTGTTATGAAGTCTGGGCAAGACAGAGATATTATCGCTATGCGTGATAATGCGATAGTGTTTGAAATGGAGGGTGCGGGGGTCTGGGATAGTCTGCCTTGTCTAGTGGTGAAGGGTGTTTGTGACTATGCGGACAGCCATAAGAACAAATTATGGCAACCGTATGCTGCAGCGACAGGAGCAGCCTGCATGAAAGCTTTACTTGATGAGTGGACATTTTGACTCAGTAAGCATCTAGTGCATATTTATTACCTACAACGTAACAATAGAATTCTCAACATACAGATACTCAGTCTCATACCGTTAGAAAATGCTTTCTAACTACACTATGAAGCCCACTGTCGTGTGGAACTATCATTTTCCGGTGATCGGTATAAAGTATTAAGAACCATCGTTCTAGCTGGAATAACAGAAGGAGCCGATCAAGGAGGCTCATATACCTCTTATGCAGGCTGCCGCAAAAGCAAGTATCGATGCAGACTATTGGCTTCCTACGGCCGTTTGGGGCTTATCTGCGGGAATTAATGCTAGGCTGCTACGCCGGGCTACCCACGGACCCCGGTGCAACTTGACTCCTCATTCTCTGTATCTTCGTTCATCTCACTTCCTCCCACATCCCACATCTCATTGCCTTCAACCCAGATCCAATCAGATTCCAGCGCAATGGTCCTCCGCCAGGAAAGAAATCCGCTCACTCCAGAATTCGACGCTCTCGTCGACGAATTGCTTGGGGAATGGCACATTCCAGGCCTGGCCGTTTCGATCGTACACGGTTCCAGCACCTACGCAAAGGTACTACCACCATCCAAGATTGCCATTGACCTGAAAACCACACTAACTATGAACTCAGGCCTACGGTTACGCCTCCTTTCCCTCCACACCCATGACCACCACCTCTCTCTTCACGACCTGCAGCACAACCAAAGCCTTTACCGCCGCCGCAATGTCTTTAGCGATCGACGATAGCCAGTCCACTCCGCACCCAATCTCCTGGTCTACGCCCATCTCTTCCATCATCCGTGACGACTTTGTTCTTTCTACTCCTTCTGCTACCACCTACACTACAATTGAAGACATCTTATCGCATCGCAGTGGGCTCCCAGGCCACTTCTTTTCCATCAACCTCGCTCATCCGAAAGAGACTTTGCGCACCGAGGTCCGCAGGCTTCGATGGCTACCACTGGCCTTTCCGCCACGAACCAAATTCAACTACAACAATCATATGTTCATGGCTGCCACATATTTGTTGGAACATATAAACGGGGAGGGCCTCGGAACGACGCTGAAAAGAAGAATCTGGGACCCACTTGACATGAACGATACATATTTCTCTACTGCCGAAGTGCAAAGGCACCCGAACTTGTCAAGGAGACTAGTCAAGGGCTACACCTGGAATCCGGAAACACACGCCTATTACGAAGAGCAATATATCAACTATGCTCCGATCACCGGAACTGGTTCAATGGTTTCTAACGTGATGGATTACGCAAAGTGGCTGCGCGCTATGCTTTACCAGGCACCGCCTATCTCGAAGGAGGGGCACACAGCACTTCGTATACCCAGGACAGTCATTGCCGAGTCGGATTGGGAAAATATGCTCGCTCCGCCCGGTGCATACCATCTCTATACCATGGGGTGGTTTATAGACTACTATCATGGAGAACAACTATACTGGCACCCGGGTAGCTGGGCCGGATTTGGGATAATGGTTGGATTTTTGCCTGCAAAAGACTTCGCGTTTGCTATGATGGGAAATACCCAAAACGCGAGGATTGCAGAGTTAAATTTGTTCTTGTACCTCATCGACCAGCTGCTGGGGAAGAGTGGAGCCGACAGAGAGACCCATGTGAGGAAGCTAGGGGCGAAGCTTAAGGAGATGGAACGGATGTACAACGAGAGTGTCGAAAGTGTGGTAGCACGGTTATACCCGAACCTGAAAATGAGGTTACCACTTTCATTGTCGCTGGGAGCATATACAGGTACATATGCGCATCCTGGATACGGAGAGTTTGAGGTCTGTGAGAAGAGCGGCAAGTTGGTCGTTGATTTGAGAGACCGTGTGGGGAGCTGCAGTATGCGGTTCGAGCATGTCAGTGGAGAGTTCTTCGTCGTCAAGTACTATAATCCTGAGGCCGAGGCTGTGGGACCAGACTATACAAAGGCTGAGTTTTATGTTGACGAGCAGGGAGTACCGAAAAGCCTGGGGTTAGATCTGGAGTCCGTTTTGGGTGAGAAGATTTGGTTTCGAAGGATGGAGTAAGCTGTGATAGTATAGCTACTAGGAAGAGTCGATGTTCCTCGCCATATCCGTCATACCGTGCAATTATAAGGATGAGAACATCAATGACCGTCAAACTAGGACTAAAATCCTTCTCAAAGCAGCAAACGATATTGATAATATGTTATTCAAATTTAAAATCCGAACAACAGGTTTCATAAAGACATAACTCGTATATGCCAATCAGGGCAGCAAAGTGGACGACTCAAAGCCCATTTCGTACCCATCCATCAATCAAACCGATACCCACTTCCTGTACTATCCTCCAACCCACTCCCAACCCACACACCGAGAACAAATGAAATCTACCCCCTCCACCTCCCAAAATGCACCCCACCCCTCTTCGCCAACTCCCTGTCAAACTCACTCTCCCCACCCGTAGCATTAACAATCCTATCCAACATTGTGCTCAAATCATCAAACGTGATATTCTCCTTTGCCCGACTCCACCCTAGATCCAGCGGAAGACGTTCATTCTCTGCGAACCATCAGTCAGCACAACACACCATCACTACCTCAACCCCACCAGGACTAAACTCAACTCACCAAAAAGATACTCCACCCTCGACCGATTTACCAACCCATTCTCCTTATCCCCAAGGACAATAATATACGCCGCCGTCTCCCCATAACTAAACGACGCACCCAGCTCCGACATGGTATAATTCGGATTCGTAGCCATAGAGGTATTCACACGTGCTTGGCGAGACAGAGCAGCCTGCTTCACGTCGATGATTGGGGAGGTCCAGTATGAGCGAGTTTCGTCGAAGATGGTTTGGTTGAAGTCGTGGTTGTCGCCGAAGTAGGCGTCTTGGCGGCTATACCATGATACACACTGGGTTAGATGGATGGAGTGGTGGGATTGGGGAGGGACATACCTCAAGCTAGCATCATGTTCGAGGATATCATGACGGCTTAGATCATTCAGGGAGAAGGTAGTAGCGTTGGGGGTTGGGTTGGTGGTTACTGCTTCTTGGTGGAGGAATTTGGAGAGTTCTGCGTCGATGCCGAGGGCGTTGTAGAGAGCGTTGATGGTGTGTTGCTCGGTGATGTTTTTGCCGTTGTGCGGGAGGTAGCCGTGGTTGGCGAGAGTGTTGAGCATTGGGCAGGGGGCGCGTACTTTCGGTTCTGTTAGTTGTGTGATTATGTGGGTAGGCTATATGGGGTGCTTACCATCGTTAGGGCCTGGAGGGGACCATGGTAGCGGATGCGGTGCTGCTCCTTGGGATGGGAATGCATGGGTTTGGGTAAGACCCGCGGTGAGAAATAGTAGAGTTGTTGTCTTCATGATGGCGGTAGTAGTAATAGAGAACTGAGTTTGTTATTTTGACTGTAACTAGGATGAGGATTTGATAGAATTTATATCCGGATGTACGCCTAGAGCTGAGCCATCTACATTACAAATGCCGGAATATTACTCGCCATCATCATCTGGAAGGAATTACGCTTGCGTTATTTTTATAATTGTGGAGTAGCAATTGTAGCCAGTCATGGGTGAAGATCGGGCAGGTTTCAGGATGGCTCCGATCTGGATGAGGGCACGATGACGGCCTTGAATGGGCAAGTCGCTAGCCGTTTTGGACTGGGTGTATACGAGCATAGTGGTGGCATCGTTGGTGATGCATCAAGTGTAAGATGATTGGCTGCACTGGCAGCTTTGGAATGCTTCGCGGAGCAAAACCCGCTGTACCCGTGAACAGCGACCTGGGACGCCTGATGCCAAGAGCTTGCTGTGATGTAATCACTCGTCCAGAGCAGTGCTGCACCATCCTTGGTGGGTGGTTGTCAACACCACCATAACATAGTCACATTTCTACATACCTGCATGTCTAAAATTGTAACAATCTGCTGCCTAAACAGCGTCCCGTGGGAACATGAAAGCCTGCGTAGGATTCAGGCGGTCATATTCTGTTTTAATATTAGTGACAGCTGATAGGAGGATGATGCGGTGTTTGGATCTTGGCATTTTGGCAAACAAGAGTTGGAACGAGCTCCACTGCTAAGGCATCAGGATAATGTGATTGATCGGAGGCCTATTCTCTTCGCGACGGGTAAGGGTATGAATCCGACGGGAGGCATAAGCCGCCCCGTGCCAAGGGATCTGCAGCCGAGCCCAGGCGCGGTCTACATTGGGTTTAGTGGCATCTTAAACGAATACGATCGGCCCAGTTAGGAACCGGACTTGCTGTTTTGGGGCAGTTATCACGGATACCCCGAGAGTAGCAAAATTGACTGTCGAAGTGTGTATGGAATATATCTGAATACTGAAGGGTTTATATCTACCATTAAATAAGGTTGTGAGCTATGACTGAATGTCAGCAGCTGTACCCCAAAACACCTATAAAGTATTCAAGCCAAAAGTAGCTCTATATAAATAACGGGTGATGGCACATCGTCCAGTCGGAAATTAATTGCTTCTCTCAGCAATTGCCAGTATACACCACTACTGCATCAATCACTCTTCTAGCCCTAATAAGTAACTCAATATCGACCTTCCAATTACCCTAAACGCTTCATCTCCTATAATCATGAGTGTCTCAGGTCATATAAGCTGAAAAACCCTCATACGGCAGCGACACTTGCCATGCATATGTGGAAGGGGTCTTTACTTCATACGGTTACATGTCCTCGCTTGCAGCAAATTTAACAATAGTAGTCCTCTTTAGTGCCTCCATCCCCGGTCATATTTTCCGAATGGTGTGATTTCTCACTTCGTGGCGTTGTGTTTGTTACTGATCCCAATCTATGGCATCCGGGGCACTTCAAAAAAATTCGGTGCTCAGGGCCAGTGAACAGGATTTGCCCTGAAGGGCGTTGAGGAGGAAGTCAGAGAATAAATTGGAGGTGTTGAGAAGCGGGCATAATTGAGCCAGAGAAGGGTAAGGGGTTGACGATAATCACTGCTTATGTTGCCGTTTGGCTGTAAATCTCACATATCAAATACGTTCCAAGGTAAACTACCACTATGATGACACTGCACTAGGATGACTGTGTCTTCTTGGTTGCACAATCAGCCAGGCCACAGATCGTCTTCATCGGCCACTATAACCACCCACGATCCTTTCCACCTAAGCATCCCTCAATGCCCCCAATGATATGTTCAGCCCACCCTCGAGCAAACCACACCTCATCATGGATCTTGATAGTCACCAGAAAGTAAGCCAGCGGTACCGATTATGTGATCGATACATTTTCTTGGAAATGTTCATGTTTTCTTCCAGAAATTACTAGACTGCCCTAATCGGTTGCCTTCATCACCGTTATTAATATACTCCATTAATTTCAGAAAATATACTCCTGCAAAAGTTGTTGTTTTTTTGTCCGGTGTCTGCATCAGCCCTTTTGCATCAGCGTTATGAATTGCCTTCAACACACGACCAACTGCACGCGCTTAACCCTTGCAACATGCTCAACGGCAACCGCAATCGAGCCATAGCCCGGGATGTGCTAAAACCACCGGTCTCACTTAGTGCTACCGTAGCTCTTACATGGCTTCTTCCAGCAGGTTAAGGAATCGGAATCCCATGGATACCGCCTCTGTTCCCGAGATCTCTTATCTTATGCAATGACATTCGGGGTAAAAATTTGCTCTTTACTTGAAGACTATAGAAATCCCATTTCACTTGTCCTATTATGATTATTGAGAGCGGGCGATGAAGCGAGCGCCCGCGGAAACCAGATGGCTAAGTCTTCTTATGGCTACCGGGACTGGAGAGGAACCGACAGATAAGAACACACGCCACGCACCCTTCCTGTCGTGCTAACGTAAGAATTGGATTTGGAGTCAGTCTCGCAAATATGGATAGTCTACAACGTCGTCACCATTGTTCTGTGGCTGTTTTCGCACGACCTGGGGGCTCGTGAGGCAGCGGCATCATGATCAGCCCCTACACCAGACCAGGATGTGCCGAAGACTTTCAACAGAATACCCAAACAACGATGTAGCTTCGATGGTGAGGCTGGGAGGTACAGGAGAAAGAGGGCCCTACACATGTTTTGGTCACAAGCTTGTATCTTCGGAGTTGCGGAAACGATGGAAGCTTGTAGTCAAATTGATCAATTACGCAGCTGGTTTGCCCAGCTGTTGAATTCGATTTTGGGAAACCTGTCATAGTCCTGTCAAACGACCCTTTCCACCCTCCTCACCCCCCGAGATCTAGAAACGCATGTGGTTCTGAGAAGCCGCTATGCTCCTCAGGTTCCGACATTTCTTCAAGTAGTCATCTTTGTTATGTGCGCTCACATTCCCGAACAATTTGCGTTCAAGCAGCGCATCCGATATTCTCGCAGCATCAAATACACATGAATCAACATTAGTAGGGTCAGTATCGCGGAGAACAATACAAGGTCCGCTGATACGCACGACGGGGGTCTGGAGATTTGAACCCATCCGGGTACCTCGCCTTCAGCTCTCTTGGGCTTCGGACGAAGGCCTCTATCAGGGCGGACAAGTAGCCCTGCTGGAGCAGTGGAACGGGGTCTCCTTCGTCTATTATGCTCAGGAAGATTCCTGACTGTAATGGGTCGCGGCTTGGCGGGCGGATGGGGATAGTAGCGATCGGTGGGGTGCCAAATGCAATGCAATGAACCCGTCGGAAATCTGTTCATAGAGTATGGAAGGTTAGAAAGGTGCTTTAAAAGAGACGTGCAGGAACTGAGGGTAATCAGAGGCTCACTAGGTACTAAGGAATCACCATCGAGGGGGCCTACATCCCGGGTAACATGACGCTTATGTGCCCGCAGTATGTGCTAGGCCGTGGTAGGTCCGAATCCTCACCCATATATCATACATAGGGCTAATTGCGTATTTGCTATAGATGAACAGATTTATGAGCGTCCGAAGGAATCCCTTCCCGAGCGCTGGCATCTACACCCAGAAGTGGTATCTACACCCAGAGATGGTGAAGCAGAGAGCCGCTTTTGCCCCTTTTTCGCTAGGTTAGGCGAGCCACATCTCTTTACCCCTAGGGCGACCGATGCTGACCAACACCTCATTAGGCCCGTATGGGTGCATTGGAAAACCCCTGGCTTTGCTGACCCTCCGCAACACTTTGGTACGGCTGGTCACGATGTTTGATTTCGAGTTCGCACCGGGAGAGGATGGGACGGCCTTTGAAGGGAAGGCGAAAGATCGGTTTACAATGGGTTATGGAGATTTGTAGATACTCTACCGGAAGAGAAGCGACATAGGATCCTAAGTGAATATGGTGCGCAAATTTGGTCTACTTACAGCACTGAATGTACCAATACATGGACTAATGTATATAATCTGATTTGAGATGACTTTGCAAAAATGCACCACATATTCTTATAGAGTGATGCGATGGGGTCCATCAGATCTATTCTTTAGTACAATGTACTAAGAATCAAACTCTATTACTCCGATCGAGCTCCATCCTGAGTTGTGAAGTTCCTTGTGTGAAGAAAAGTATGGAGCCCAGCGGGTATATTCAGCCCAGAATGAGTCTCGCTCGCTTTTAGAATATCAGTGAGCTTGCACTGGCAAATTTCATTAGCTACTTAATGGCTACATTCCGCAGTTCTAGTATTCCTGGATTTAGGTCACGCGGTATGACGCATGAATGTTCCCATCCAGGAACCTGAAGTTAAGGTTTGCCGCCTCCCCTGATAGTCATACAATGATGTAATGAGGCGTTCATCCCTGGAATAACAAGAAGCAGAGAAATGGATGAAAGAGAACGATAAACTAACATAGATAAAGATTATTGAGAACAAATTCAAAAGGCAGAGCTTCTGTTTTAAAGGGGTGCTGTGAGAGCGATCACCGTTAGATGCTTATCGAATTTGCATCTTGTTCACACTATAGTTTTACCAAACCGTGGAGATGTAATCCTTGAATCGACCGCCATAAAACTAGAGAAAGTCAAGTCAAAACTCTATTAGTATTGCAGCCACCATTTCAACACGATATATAGTAAATCGTAGCCGAGGGGTTATCGCTGCCCCGGAAACATATCATGTGCCACTACTATTCTAGCACACGTAATATAAATACCATTATTCGATTATCCTGGTGATGCAGGATCTTGTGCTTATAATGTCATATAAATAGCATTATAACTATTGAGCATGTAACAGCGAAGTCATCTTCCCAGCTTATCTCTTGGAAGTGTCAGCTGCCCAGCCCTTGCGTTGATGATGACGGAAGCTTGACATATGTACATCCTTGGCGCATGAGCTTCAAAAAATCACCTTTTCCCCGGCTCGGAAGGACGAATGTCATCTACTAGAATGGATATCTTAGCTATGCACTTATTTTCATCAACTGGGCTAGAAGATACATATCCTCCATTGTCGGACGAAAAGGCCTGGTAGATCATATATAAAGGGGGAGACTCACCGGGTTAAAAAAAGTAGAGCCAAGATGTTATCGCGACAAGTCAGAGCAGCACTGCTTTGTCCTTATCTTCCTGCGTTTGGTTATTCAAGCCCGAGATTGCCGGTTGGAAAACCCTTGTGTCGCGGCGCAATATCGAACTTCAGACGGTCTATGGCCGGACAGGCCCACGTGAAAGAAAGGCTGCCTCGAAATGAAAAATCCCATGAGCGATTCAGAGAGTTTTCGCTTGCTGGGAAAGTATTTGCTGTGACGGGTGGTGCAAGGGGGTTAGGATTATCAATGGCCGAAGCATTGGTCGAAGCAGGTGGACGAGGTGAGATGTTTGTTCTCTTCACTCATAAGAGTTGGGCCCCCATGACTCACGTCAACGATTCATAGTATACTGTCTTGACCGGCTTCCCCAACCAGAGGAAGAATTCCACGCAGCAGAGGCGCGCGCAAATCCAGATTTTGGGGGCTCTTTGCACTATAGGCGCATGGACGTAACCGACGACGCAAACACGGAAGCGGTGATGGCCGACATCGCAGCACAAAATAACCGCCTAGATGGTCTTGTTGCAGCTGCGGGGATAAACTATGTTGCTAGTGCGATCGATCATACACCTAAGAATATTGACGACGTGATCCACATCAATTATACGGGCGTCTTCCGCAGCGCCGTTTCAGCCGCGAAAGCCATGCTGGATATGAAGTGCCACGGCTCCATTCTCCTCGTGGCAAGTATGAGCGGCATCATTGCCAACAAGGGTATGGAGTCTGCCGTTTATAATTCGTCCAAGGCGGCAGTTATCCAGCTAACGCGGAGTCTGGCTATGGAGTGGTCTGAGGTCAAGGAAGATGGCACGGGCGGGATTCGTGTGAACTGTCTCTGTCCTGGGCACATTGAGACGCCAATGGCAAAGATGGTTATGGAGAAGGATCCGGATACTCGAGATCTGTGGACGTCTGAGAATATGATGAAGAGGCTAGCAAGGCCGGAGGAGTTTAGGGGAATCACTCTGTTGCTTATGAGCGATGCTTCGAGCTTCATGACTGGTAGTACTGTAGTTGTCGATGGTGGGCATACAGCTTGGTGAAGGCTTGCCTAGATAGAAGTGGTTACCTTATACTCTGTTTTAGATCACTGCCATAATTATATTGCTTTTCACTCAAAGAAGTGCAGTGCCCCCGTGCAACACATCACACAATATATCGGTCGACCCCCGGCGGCGTTTACTGATCCCCGACTGACAAGAGGTATTTCTTCTCAATGGCTCCAAGGAGGTGTATATGTATTTAAAGTCAGGCCAGCATTGCGGGAGGGTAGTAATCGACGTCAAGTAGTGGGCGGGGCTTCGTGTATCCGTTCTCCTCAACGATAAGACATTAATACTATATTAACAGCGAAAGCTTCGACCCCGAGGTGCTCAGGCAAGGCGCATCCGCGGCCATTCTATGCTTTGCCATATGGCTTCCACTTACCCGGAACAGATGACATTGATTAGGTGACTAGAAGTCTGTCAGATGGCAGGAATAAACATGGAAAACTTGATGGATTGCTATACTATGGCTATAGATCACACCAAGAAGAACATTGAGCACAACAACTACGCAGAACTGTTTAACTTGCATCCAAATCATCAAACCATGAAAACACCATAATCCAACATCTTGCATCATCTGACCGGCGCATCAAGTCCGGACTGCCCGTTTTGATGTATCGCCGATGGGTTCTCCAAGGAACCATTGCGCAAATTTTTTGAACCCTTCTGTGTTCAAGTATTGAAAATCATAGGGTTCGGTGCGGCGTACTACCAGCTCCTGCCCATCAAAGTATGCCTCAATGACGCGTGGACGCCGTCGATTCAACGAAAACAGTAGAACCTGGCAACATCATTAGTGCTTCATATATCTGTAGACGAGGCAGTAAAGGATAGTGTTACCGGTGCAATCATATCATTTACAAAGATCTTCTGCTTCAGTTGGCCCAGCATAATGCGGATGACAGTTAACACCTCCCCACGGAGGAGGTAGTTATCATCAGAGTCGAGGTTGTTGTGCATGATGCACTTGATATGCGGCCTTGAGGATTCTAAAACATGCCAGATCGCCAGCGATCCGAATTTAGGGTCGAAAGTTCGGTAGAGGTCTCCGAAATCATAATCTCCCACCCTGGCGGAAACATCAGCTGGGAAACCCAGTCAAAGGATTGAGGACTTACTGCTTGCACGACCACATCCGCCAAACCTCAGGATATTTGACCAGTAGCTCGTGGATATACGCGTCAAGGTAAAGATAGATAGTCCATCCCCATTCGCCCGGTGACAGCGTAGAAGACGTGTTGTACTCGTGGTCGACATACTCCGCCGTAGGTTCCGGCATGTTTTCTGGTTCGAAAGGGGTGAAAAACTTGGGTGCGCGAGCGTCTTGAGCATGGAGACTCAGCGGTAATGCTCGGACTTTGTACCGTTTCATGATACCCTGATCAAGAACATGGGTGTCTGTCTCTATGAGTAATTTGATCTCCCTTTCCATGAGGGCCAGGGCCTTGCGGAGATTGTAACGGTCTCTTGGCTCGGTGGCGCGATTCATGGTGATGAAATTAAACGATGACAGCGCAAATGAACGGAATATCTGGCTTACGTTAAGAAGAAGACCACTTTATAGTTTCGTTCGCGATCGACTAGTGGGGAGAGTAGGTCTTCGCCTTCGCGCTGTTGCAGCCGCCGGAGGCACAACTCGGGTTGCTCCCGTGACATGCCCGTGACCGCTGTGACTGTTCAATTCACACCCGTAGCCCATAGGACGCGCTCGAAGCAGCAAACGGGCCAGCCTCCAGCCCAACCAGACTTCACGAAATCGCCTCCTACCAATCCAGATCCTAACTTTGATACTGCCCTTCTTGATGACGAGTCTGATTCAATGTCAGTTGTCTCCTCACCACTGGTCCGCACTTAATGGAGCCCTATCCGTCCGGAAGATGAATTTCTGTATCCCCCGACAAAGGATGAACAGATCGTCAATACTGCTCTCCTGACATTCCTCGATTCTCTCACGTTGCATTTCGATCTCTCCGTTGGCTGGTCGATACATCGTATGGCTTTTAAAGCAACATTTACCAACATGGAATTTCAGGTCAGGACAGACGGTTATCTCGCAGACAGCAATGGGGACATTAAAGCCATCGTCGAGGTCAAGCCACTTATCAGAAATAACAAGGAAACGCAGATTCGTATACAGGAAAGCCACCAAATTGTAGCGAACTTATTGGCAGACTACACATCTCCCCATGTGCAGCGCCGAAATAAACCGTGAGTGGATAGATATACAAGGTCTTGGTTATATAATGGATGGTTCAAGCTGACTGTTGATATCATATTAGCCATCGCCTCATCATATCGCAGGATAGGCACGAGATCTACATATCTGTGGCGGAGTATGACGACAATTACATTGACTATCTCCAGACTGGGCACACTCGCAACAATCCATTCCTAGTCATGCATCAGTACGGCCCTTGGGACACTCTTAACCCTGATGCAATGGACGATCTTGGTCCGATCATACTAGCACTCACAGCCATTGCCCAGACCTACTAGGCATTTTGTATTCATTCACCAGCAATTTCCAATGAATACCTGTTTCATATTAGTTAGTAGCCGTTGAATGCTGGGGACAGCTAGGCCGTTTTCATTGTCTCTATTTCTGAGATTATTCTGCAAGTTGCCTTTCCTTCTTTTACTTCTATTACTTCTACCTGTGTATCTGCTGCGATTACTGGAAACATCATTGCCTGTTCTAATAGCTTGCATGTTCAATATCTTTCCCTGCCTCTCTCTCTATATATATACATGTGTGTGTGTGTGTGTGTGTTCGCGTGTCCCAAACTTGCTGTTTCAACCGTGTAGTAGTATCGCGATCATAATGACAATTTGTTACCTACACCACTAAAAGTCATACCTTTCGACGAGTTTACCTCCTAAAATCACTGAGTAAATCTGTCACCAAATTCCATTTCCGTACAATAAGCAGCCAAAAATGCCAAGCATGAGATGAGATAATTATCATTAACACGAACCAGTCGCTAATCAAGCCAACTATGACTCTGTGATATTCTAACGCAACACCGCAAAACCATGCAATTGAACCCAACCCATTTCATAGGAAACAAAAGTGCAATTAAACCACTTCCTTACCCTCCCCACCCGACTTCTTCTTCTCCTGCTCCTGCTTCCCCTGTTTAACATTCTTCCACCCCATGCCCCACACAAAGAAAAATTGAACCACACAAAGCGCCGCGCACAGATAGAATACCTCGTCAATCGCCTTCGAATACGCAACTAGTACCGAGAGAAGATCCTTGGCTGGAACGACATCCCGGAATCCAGTAGCGCCCGCTGAGATGACAGTCTCAGGATTGACACTCGGTGCATACTCGGGGATCTTCTTTCTCAGGCCTGCGGTGAGAAGGACCTCAGCGACGGCGAGGAAGATAGAGCCGCCGAAGGTTTGACTGAATGTGAGGATGGCCATTGCGGGGGAGATCTGAGCGGGGTTTACGGCGTTTTGGATGGCGACCATTGGCTGGCATCATTTGTTAGTTGATAGGTTCCAGTGGGCGAAGGATGTGGGAAGTGAACGTACTACTTGAGTGGCAGCGCCACGTCCAAGACCTACAATGGCTTGGTAGCCGGCCCAATCTCGTGTCGAGGTGGTGGGGGAGAGCATTGACAGGAGACCGGTGCCGATGGAGGTCATGATGGAGCCAAAGATGGCCCATGGGAGATAGTATCCTAATCTGCCAGCTGGAGTAATGTCAGGGATCTGGGGTAATAGAGGAAGGAGACGTAGATGCTGGCCACTTACTAAGGATACCCGAGAGCACTGCCATGACCAGCTGGCATAGAATATTCGGCAGCAAGTCGACACCGCTCATGAGGGCGGATTCGCCTCGCACAGACTGGAAGTAGATGGGTAGGTAGTACGCAATAATCATGGTCATTCCGAACATCATCGACATGGTCATGCAACTGCTCCAAACAATGCGCTGTTTCACTAACTGTCCCGGAATCATAGCATCATTGCCCATGCGCCGCTCCCAGAGACCGAAGACGACGAACGTCGCAGCGGACCCGCAGAACAGACCGATGATGGTCGAACTCTTCCAGGGGTACCGACTGCCGCCCCATTGGAGAGCCAACAGCAGCTCAATAGCGGCGGGTGCGAACAGGACAAATCCGAAGAGGTCGAATTTTTTAAGAATCACCGACCGGAAGACTTCCGCAGCTCTGGGTTTGGCATGTTGTTCCGGAATGTTAGTGAAGATTAGAAGGATGCCGACCAGGGCACCAATAGGAAGATTAATGTAGAAGCCTGTTGTGGTTAGAAGTATCTCTAGAAATGGACGAGGAGTACCACTTACACCAACGCCAAGTCGAATATGAGGTGAATGCACCACCGATAAGCGGACCACATACTAGTCCCAGTTGAGAAACTACTCCAGTGTCAGCCTTTATCACTTGTAGCTGGGAGTGGAGCACTCACAGCCCATCATGAATCCCATGAACATCGGTCGCTTATGCATAGGTAAGATGCTAGCCAAGATATTAAGCGCGCCGTTTACCATGCCCGAAGACCCCATGCCCGCCACAGCTCGTCCAACAATAAGCATCTTTGATGAGGTAGCGACACCGCAGATGAGAGAGCCGAGTTCGAAAACCGAGAAGAAGCCGAGGAAGGTCCATTTTTGAACGAAGTTGCCGTAGAACTTTCCGGTAAGAGGCTGTAGCGATGCGCTCGCAATGGTGTATGCGCTACCGTACCAGGCGACATCATCAAGCGAATGGAATTGGTTCGTGATATGAGGAATAGCCTGAACAGTCAGTACTCTCGTACCGTACCACAAAGGTTGCATCGATTACTGTTCGCAGTAGACTCACCGTAGACACGATAGACACATCTAATAACATCAAAAACACCACTAGCGTGACTGCCGTCATGACCATCAGAAGAGGGAGGCCTGTGAGCCACTTGTGCTCGTCGGGCTTTTCATCGGGTTTTGGAACTGGTACTTCTGCCGGTGGGGTGTGTACATTTTCATGTAGACTCTTGTCGTCCATGGCGACAGATTGCGCCTGTAACGTCGCTTCACTATGTTTTGCGCTCTCCATGGTGTAGGAAGCCCGATTTCGATGCCCTGAAGAAAAACATCTTTAGCGATGGGTAGCAGCTACCCAAGGAGATAAATACCATGCAGAACTTTCGGGATTTTCGAGACTAAATTCGGACTTAAGAAACTGATGATTGCGACGACACGGCGAGTCGGTGCTTACGGCCCCCGCAGGCCCTTAGTAGAAGCTTCTATTGGAACGTGGACCACGGGAAAAGCAAACCGCCCCCGTTTGTTTGCAGCCCTAAGAGCTAACTTCACAGCCATTGTCACAGCATGACTGGCAGCGTGGTGGGGGCCATAAATCCTCCTATTGGCCAGACCGATGCCTGATCGGAGGGCGTACTCCGTTCATCGTACATCGTACAGAATATTCCATAGGGAAAGAAATAACGTGTGGTTCGAGTAAGTACTGTTCGCCGTGGGCCAACCACGGCCCTTGGCACCGGAGATAAGAGCAAAGAATTGGAAGCAACCCTGATTCTTCTTGATCGGGTTCCGAGCGGGAATACCCCCACTTTGCAACGGATGAGTCAATGACGATCAATGACTAAACATTAATCTGATGGAACCCGAACCCACACGAGGCTCTCTCCTGGGGTGGTAGGCATAATAGCCCCCTGTCTAGAATATCATTATGACACATAATCAACATTCGCATTGCATGTTGAAATGTGGCTGATGCGGTGAAAAAAAAGCCACAGGTGCATACATAACACACGGCCTGACGTTTTCCGCAATGAAGCCTGGCGGAGTAAATGGCCCCAAAAACATGCAACATGCTGTCCATATCACGGCACCGCTAAAGCCACTTCCTATTGTCTTGCTAGTTTTTCGTTCCTTCATTCCACGGTTCTGTATGAGGAATCAACTGAAACGAGTCGAGGCCGGGGCTCTATCTCCCCGAATGCCGAGAAAGCTTGAATGTCCGCGGGACGGAAACGGAGAATGGATCGGCGGCTGATGGGACTCCACGTATTACCTCATGGACCTTTCACATCTCCTACTCGGGGTTAAAACTAGAACTTGCCGATGATTTAGGCAGGATACGGAGATTTAGGTATATGACATACTCGTTGTCTGATCCCTTTCGATCACCGAATTTTATGACTCAGTCTGCAAGTACGGGCACGGTAGCGGCTACCATTAACGCCGGCTAATGTAGCGACCGCGGAATCAGAGAAGGCCGATTAAGCGTGTTGACCATGCCAATTAGAGGCAGGTAGAAAGAATCTGTGGTCCAGTCTCTCTCAGACAAGTTTTAGAGTGCGTGGAGTTTTACGCGAAGCCAAAGGTCGGCCTTGGTAGGCATTAGCAGCGGTCGCTATCGAGCAACGGGCCGTGTAGATGGCAAGCAGGTATAAGCAATCCCAATGCAAAGTTAAAGCGACCAACCATAAAAGCAGGTATAATTTGTGTATAAATTCTGCTGCTACTAAAAGCCCTTGCAACTGATCTGCAACAATCTCTCTTCAATGGTAAATAGACAAGCTTATCAATCTTATCTATTAGGCCTGCGGGACGTTATATTTATATATAATATTCTACAGGTTTTTAACATCTGCTGGCGAGGTGCTTAGCAGTTGCGGCATTTGCAAATGAATCCTTGGCGTCGCCTACCACTTGTGAATTGAAATAGGCTCCACATAAGAAGTATGGCTTTAAGCGAGCAAAGCACGCATCGTGACTTAGATCTTACCTTATTTCGGAGTTAAAAATTTATTCGGCTAACATGTTCACGGCCATCGTCAGTGAAAAGTTGAGATTACGAGTTTTCCAGAAATTGTACTCAGCATCAAGTCTCTGTTTAATCCATACTAGATTTACAAGTGTATATCGCGCAGTATTTTCACGTCCGGTAGACAGTATGTCACATCCAATTTAATGAAGGAGAGCAAATGCCCATAATTTACGAACAACCCTCTCATAGTATAAGTGAGCTATCAAACCTTGGGTATACCCCTACACAGCCGCTCAGCAATATTCTAAATCATACCAAAACGAATAGTTTCGAAACATCGACTTCTGGGCTTCACGGGCACCCTCCCTCTCTGCTTCCGACCTTTTCTTGTACGCCAAGGCCTCAGACAAATCCATTGGCCAGGATCCTGTCTCATTCATTACCATATCAAACAATTCTTTGGGAAGGGTCGATAACAAGGTCGAGTCCTCTAGAACGGCATTGCGCCACCAGTCATGCTGTTGAGGGGGTACGTTTCGAGTCGAGCAGATCCGATAATGGGGATCAACCAACCACAAAACGACGCATCGTTGATGTCCTGGGCGACTTGGGTCAAGAAGAGAAAAAGGATGCTTCTTATAACGCAAGGTATTAGACCAAGCGAGAAGTCGACCGCTAGTGACTGCGACCGAGCCCAGTGTTTGAAGATTCAGAGCCTTTGGCTCCTCGCCAACTGCCAGGCAAGGAGGTGTACCGTAAAGTTTGTAGATGCACAAGGGATCCGGTTGGTGACCATGTAGACTCAGTCTATCATTCTGTTGGTATGAAATGCGGGATTCAGTGATATTATCCGAGCTATAGCAAAAGTGGGCAGTGGCGACAATATGTTCGTTCAGCATGCCGTCCACATGGAAGTCTTGATCCCCGGGATAATGGGGCTCATTTGCCGTCAGGTCGATACTGAAGACCCGTACAATTACCTGCAGGCCCTGTTGCCGAAACTCATCTTCCAATGATACCGAGTAGTATTCATGATTGTGAGTCATCTCATACTTACCTTCCCACTTCCACGGACCGAAAATTGGATTTGCAGTCATCCCGGCTTTCCAGTCTTCATACGTATAGGAAATGCCTGGCTCGGGGTAAGAGAACCTATGGAGTCGTCTCCACTTCGCCTCTACTATCCTCTTAACACTATGGGGAGATGCCCACATTTCCGGTGTCATCAAACTCAAAAGGTCTTGAGTCTGAGGTGGATCATCGGGCTCTGGCGGGAAAACGCGGTATTTCGGATCCACATCTGGTAACCGAAGATATTCTTTGACCTTGTCACAATGACTTTCCCATTCTTCTGACGTCCAGGCGCGTCGTGTTAGTTGTTGATTCCACACAACTGGCGATAGGTCCTTAGGCGGGTATTCTGCAAATGGGGCCTTTTCACTGTTCGAGACACCGTATGTATAGATCCGCCGGGGCGTACGACCTTGAGACCCCTTTACCAGAACGTTATTCCAAGGCGCTATAGCCAGAGAGATAAGCTTTTCAATGGAAGCGTATGCCCTGATATTCATTGGGTGGAGGTTATTGATGTACGATGCTATCCGTACCGCCGTTCCCGAAGACTCGGCGAATTCAATGTCACAAGGTAGCCACTGATAGCAGGAGGAGAATTGTCGACATTTTGATTTCAACACTTGGGGAAAAGATCCAAGTTTACTCAAAGGATGATCTGGCGTCGGTGCCGTCTGTCCCCGGTCGGATGGAGGATACAGTTTAGGAGTCCCTCCAAGGGTAACCCTACCACCATGACTGAGAACTGTTGTCCGACCATAAATAAGCATATGAAGTGATGGGTCTACCAAGTCATGAGTGCTACACCTGGGCAGTTGACTAAGTGCATCCTGTAGTTGATGGACCAGGGCCCCTGTCACGACTCGATCGACTTTACATACTCCAGAGTCCGAATTGAGGACAACAACATGACCGGTATCATGAAATAGTCTGGCCTTATCCTGTAGCTCCGCAACGCACCAGAGCCATGTTCTCATAGTAATCAGGTCCACGTCAATATCTTGGTTCATATCGGAGTCACGGTCTGCGCAAAAGGCTCCCTGTGCACGCCATGCGGAGAGAGTATCTTCATCAAAGACCCCCTGGTCCCAGTCCTTAATTTCGGTGATGCGCTCCATGAGACGCAACATATGAACCTCAGGTGCTGTCAGTCTAAATGGTTTTCTTTTGCGATTCTCCCATGCCCCGTGAGTAAAGCGCTGGCCGATCTCGAACTCATACTCCAGGGGGATCCCATCGAATCCAGGAACACGAAGTGGACCCGACCCACTATTATTGAAGTGCAAGGGGGGCTTCGTTTCGCTGTCCATGTTTGTCCCAAGTCGAGCCCGATGCTGGGTGCTGGTAGAGAAAGAAACAAGCGTCGTAGGCTAGTTCTTTGGTAGTTTACCTGGCGACGGAATGACCGGCGGAATGACCAGGTATTTTAGCGGTGCGCTGCGAAGATGATACCACGGTAATATTTACGGAAGCCCTGTTTCGGCCGGAGGTGCGGAGACGGCAAAGCACATGATTATGGGCAGGCGCTAAATTGAACCACTGAATTATTGGTACTGACCTGGTAGATTATTCTTTATTGAACTAATTTGTCGAGCGTCTACAACGGAGGTAACACTGGGAGTGCCGACATACGTAAGGATTGTTATTGTTATCTCCGATCTGGTGATAATATGTTGAGATTTTCACTCCAGCCGAGGTCAGTCAATCCTTCGCCTCCTCTCCTTCCAATGCTTTCAGCTATTCAAACATCCAACCCACTTTTCTTGATAACTAGTTTGACCATATCTATTTCCCCCTTTTGCTTGGCAAAGTACTTATCAATGAACACAGACGGGTACCAATTTGAGTTGTCATCAACAGGTAGAATACGAAAAACACCAAACAGCACAAGAGAAACAAGACAGGTAACAACTTGAATGAAGGTACGGCTCTTTGGGACGCTTTCCACTAATCTCCATCCTCCCAGAGTACCAATAATCCGACTTTCGCAGTTACTAGTTCCAGTGGTGCGCATGATGGCTATCATGTCTATGAGAATCCAGGTGTCGCTTGATAGCGGGGTTACTTGGGTACTGGAAATGAGAGGCTTTCAGTCAGCTCCGTGAAACGCATGTAGAATATTGTACAGTAGTGTGAGGCTATGGAAAAGAGAAATGCTTGCGGCACACATTTGTTGCTATGAGTTTACTTACCATGCGAGCAGCAGATGAGGATTTCGCTGGAGGCTGGATAGGATGGGACGATGAGGCCACGAGTGAAGGCGAGGCAGCATGAGAAGAGCTATTTCTCTGCCTGCAGACGCCGTAAGAGAAATTCGGGTTGGCTGCTGTAGCTACCGGGGTGTGTCGATAAAGTTCACACTGGCCACCATGGGTGAAGAGCCAGGCTCGGCATGCAGGAATGTTCGAGCATTTGAGGCCGCAATCCGATGCATCGGTATAGTTAGAGCCGTACGTCAGAGCGGCACCACTAAAGAATGCAATGGTATTGTGAGAGATACTATCCATGCAAGACGTGCTTGCAGCCGTTGTTGCAACTAGCGCAGTGAGGCTCACGAAGATAGACTGCAATACTAACATTGTGTAACATGAGAGGTAACCGAAACATGGCAGTTGGGCTATAGAGCGTTGCCCGTTCATCTAGCCTTTTTATATCACCTCAACGACAAGAGCCATCACCCAAGATGTATATTGGGAGGGTTCAGTCATAGTATGTTATCTTAGCAAGAATCTACCACCTGTTGTAGACACTATCGTCGTAATTTAGCATCCCTGGAAGGTAATAATCCAGGTCATAGTGGCTGACCCAATTAGGCAGGAAGCATGTCCCCTTTTCAGAGTGCGCTGGCACGACCTACATTTTTGGTATAGTAGGCCGTCTAGTTCGCGCCTCACGGGTTCCTTGTTAGGCAGAACCTCCGTGGTGATAAGGTGTAGGAGTGGGCCGCTATACCGCATCCGCTTGAACGTCCATACCCGACGAGATAAGACTGTTACCCTCAGGGTCTCATTTCCACTCTACTAACCATTTTTTGCCTCTATATCTTTAGACCTTCGGGGTACCGACGCACTAGCGCCCCCGTCGGTGTTCGTTTCAATGTCCAAGGTGTTCAAGTTTGCGACCTGTTTTGGCCGAAGATACTCCGCGGTAATCTATATCGCTACTTCCATGCCATCTGGTCCTGGGCTCCCAAGCTAATAGTAGTCTCTCAAACTAGCAGCAGCCCAGCCATTCAATAATCCACACGCCTTAGTCCAGTTATCATTTGGACATATTCTCATTTAATGGAGTTAAAATATCATGCTAAACTAGTTATATAGACCCATCATGAGAGTTGCGTACACTTGACAGAGCCCATGTACTATCTGCTGTCCAGGCGCGAAATCCCAGCTAGCCTCATCGCCCCTATCAGTTGGACTATCTTGAATGCTAGTTTCCTCAATGACTCAAAGCTTGATACATGGAAACTTGAAGCGCAATATATAACTTAGAGTTCGGTTGAAAGTGACGAACACGATTAATGTCTATAGTACCGACAGATACATGACAGAGGAAAACATCAAGACATAGAATAACAACAATCCGAGACGAAGTAACTAAATTTCGACTGCCCAAAATTCCCGTTCTTAAGAACAGCCTGCTTCGAGCGACGGTATCACCCGCTGATACATATTCACAATATTTTGGTGAATTCTGTAAACGCTTTCAGTAGGTTTAGCTTCGGCAAAGTTGAGAAATTCCTTGTACGTATCGACCAGTTTCGCTTGATCCCCACCGGCTGCTTCTGTTGCCATTCCCGCGTAATCAAGATCGGTGTAAACCATTTTCAGTGACGGTGACACAGTCCTGTCCTCGTCCAATACTCGTTGGGTGCTCTGCAGGTTAATTTTTGGGTATTTTTCTGCAAAGGCATTCGCTTTCGCACCCTCAAGCTCCCCATACCGAACAACCATCTCGGTGAGCCTCACGGCCTGTGCCCATTTCAGGGACACCGTTGCCTTTTCTACCAGATCCGCAGATGGTACAACTGCTCGAGCCTCTTGTATCTTGTTCGCGACCGCATTGACCAGGTTTGCAAAGCCCGATGGCGCTTTCTTGATAATTTCGTCGGCTTGTAAGTCGTCGCTGTTGTAGTTCCAATATGTATCAATCTCCTCGGCTGTTGCATAAACGTCAGGGCTTCTAGTGGATCCCGTTGAAGTTGGCGTGAGATCCTCTGCATAACTTGGATCCATAATCGTTTCCAAAAAGGCCTCCAAGGTACAATCTTTACCAATACAGTCACCTCCTATTGTTGCCTCATATGATACCCCGTCTTCGGCCGCTCTGGCTGCGGCTGCGGCGTCGATCTGATAGGCATAGTAGAAGTAAAGCGCTTCAAATGGACCGGTCATCCTCGAACATTTCGCCATATCAATAGAGAGAACCAGCATGAAGATAAGCAGGACCAGCTTCATTTTTGACAGATTCTGGTAGCGATATTATGAAAGTCTTGTTGGAAATGGAGGATATTGAGAGGAATGCCTTGGTCATAAAAGAAGGCAAGAGTCTGACCAGCATGGGAATATGAACACCACGTAGTTACTTAGCATCTTTATGTATCTTCCAAGAAGGCCTGTTTCACTACCAGCATGTAATTCTGTCATGATCAAATCAGACACACACCCGAGGCCTTATCGTTCATTAGGGCGTCTAACCGATCATAACGCCGGCCACTACTAGTCAATGTAACCTCAATAAATGCAATCAAACTAAATAACGCGGGTATGGTGGATACCAATTTGCTTTGGAGGAAGTATACTAGCGTTTATCTGACAGATAAGAGTATATGGCTCTTAAATGAGCATCTGTGAGGCTATTGGGGTGAGAATGGCCGTGAGCCGGTATATTGGCGTTCCAAATTAATCCCTCATGTAGCCACGGAGGCCAACTAGTATACGCTAGCTAGTAACCAAAGGATAGTACTGTTAATGGGATGACTTTTCCCTTTGTTTGAAAATGGACCACAAGTGACAGGCTTGCCTATCTATAATAAATGCCTATATGCTCTGCTCTATCGCAAGCACTCGCACAGTCACTCATTCTCACTTACGCTCACTTTAACAGTATCTAATCATTCGTTCAAACCGTGAACTCATCCACTTTTCCGTTTTGGTTTTCATTGGCTTTGGCCTTCCTCTCCTTCGGACACATCCTTCTTCTCTTTGAATCGAAATTAATTAATTTTCATTTGTCCACAGGTTAGCTCTATATGTGCATACCTATCATGATGTGGCCCTTTCTTCCGGTGATTTTATGTCTCGTGCTTTGGTCACTTGAGGTCCACTCACGGGCAGTCTTTGCTCATTTTATGGTATGTCCTTTGATTTTCCATGATATATTTGGACTAACAGCTCCCGATAAGGTCTCCAATACCCTCGGCTATACGGTCGATGATTGGCAAAATGAGATGCTCCTTGCTTTGGACGCGAACATCGACGCATTTGCGATGAACATCGCTGTAGGAGATGCTACCAATACACAATCTTTGGAGAACGCTTTCTCAGCTGCTGTGAACACTGGATTCTCCCTTTTCTTTTCCTTTGATTATGCAGGGAATGGGGCATGGGCCAAAGACGACGTCCTGGACATGCTAGATACTTACATATCGGCCAAAGCATATTGGCGATATGACTCGAAGCCCTTTGTCTCTACATTTGAAGGTCCTGATAACGCAGACGACTGGGTCGATATTAAAGAGAAGACCGGGTGCTATTTCATTCCTGACTGGTCCTCCGTAGGGGCTGAAGTAGCCGTGAGCCTTGGAGATGGGGTGGCTGATGGCTTGTTCAGTTGGGCGGCATGGCCGTACGGTCCAAGTGATATGAATACCTATGTGGACGCCTCTTATATCGATTTTCTGGATGGTAAACCATACATGATGCCGGTCTCTCCCTGGTTCTTTACCAACATGCCTGGATACAGCAAGAACTGGCTGTGGCGGGGTGATAATCTCTGGTATGACCGCTGGGTCCAGGCCATGTTTCTGGCCCCTGAGTTCATTGAGATCATCTCCTGGAATGATTTTGGTGAATCACACTACATCGGCCCTACTCCAGACGCTGACTCCTCGCTTGCTGAGTCAACCTATACAGCTTTCGGAACAGGTCAGGCCCCGTATAACTATGCATTGAACATGCCACACGACGGTTGGCGAGCGTTCCTTCCCTGGCTCGCTGATACTTATAAAAACAACATCTCGACAATCACACAGGAAGGTGTTCAAGCATGGTACCGATTAAATGTCCGGGGAAGCTGCACGTCAGATGGCGGGACGACCGGTAATACTGCGAGCGAACTACAACTAGAATACTGGCCTTACGAAATCCCACAAGATCGGATATTCTTCTCTGCTCTGTTAGCCTCTTCAGCAGATATTTCGGTGACAGTCGGGGGTACAGACCTAGGTGCGTCATGGAATAGTACCCCCAGTGGAGGGACTGGCATCTACCATGGTAGTGTGGAATTTTCGGTGCAGGCAGGAAGTGTCGAGGTGGCTATCACTCGAGACGGCGATACGATTGCGAGCTTCACTGGCGAGGAAATTGTCACAGGTTGTGCTGCATCAAGTGAAATTGAGAATTGGAACGCCTGGGTAGGCAGCGCCATGTCGGCCACCACAATCTCAGCCACCCCGACCTACTCTCTCGCAGACGAGGTGTGCATCCGCGGCTGGGGGGTAGGCAACTTCAACGGCCTTTGCTCCTTTGCTTGTGCGCTAGGATACTGCCCTGTTGGAGCCTGTCTGTGCCAAGAAATGGGCCCCCAGGCAAGTTTGCCTAAGAGTCTGGGAGTGATTGGCTACCCTGCCGCTGGAATGACGGAGGACTACTCGGGTCTCTGTGCTTTCTCTTGCAACTACGGGTACTGCCCTTCGTCTGCCTGCACCACTACAGAAGTGGCTCTTGCAACGTCTACTGTGTCACCTTTCACCCCCGACACTTGTACTTCTGGAGAAGGAACTGGTGACCTGACAGGTTTGTGCAGTTATGCCTGCGCCTATGGTTACTGTCCCATCCATAACTGCACTTGTACCGCAACGGGCCCCTTAGACGTGCCGCCTACTGCAAACACTAGCATATATGGTTACACCATGGATGCCTATACTGACAGTGGTCTATGTGACTTTGCCTGCGAGCGAGGCTACTGTCCATCGCCCGTATGTTCGGAAAGCGTTGCTGGTAACAGCACAGACCTAGTGTGCACAAGTGATGACCCTGATTCCGATTGTGTCGATGATGTCGAAACGTGCGACTACACCCTCACTTTCGACAGCTTTTCCAGTTTAAAGTCTTCTCTAAGCTCCGTAGAAGACTATTGTGTGAACTATTATGCTCTTGGTGTTCTTTCCGATATGCTCGCCGACACGATGACCAATTACACGGACATCCTCTCAAACTATGGCGGCAAATTTACTGAGTACCAGGAGTACATCCGCGAGGAGGTTCCTGGAGAGTTGGAGAATTACATGAATCCTGGGGGTGCCGGAAATGCCTTCTTCACGTGTACCTTTGCCCAAGATGGCGTGAACGCTTCCACAACCACATGCCCGTTTGACGTGGAGCAGCTTTACAACGACTATGAAATATACTACGACCTCATCAACGCTACTGCCTTCTGGGCCAACCTCACAGCCACCACCGGAATCCAAAAGAACTGGGTACAATTCGGGGACAAAAATGTCGGATCAAGTTGCGGCGTAGGATCTGGCAAGACATGCCAGCCTGACAAGGGTGTGCTGAAGGGTTACCCTCTACCGGCTGAAAACATCACCGTGACCAACCCACAGACGATTATCGAGGATGCACTTCCAGGAATCTATAATTTGACCGGGACAATATACCTGACCCAGATACTGTCGGCCACTGGTGCATATGGAGGAAGCATGAATGATGTTCTTCTCACCATCTCGACCGTCGTCTTCACGCTGGCTCAAGCGGTAGCAAACATGGGCGAGGTGGTTGAAGTCGCCGATAAGGCCTCGGAAGAGAAAAAGAAGGCGATGATTGAGGAGATTATCTTTGGCGTCTTAATGGTTGTCCCCTTTCTTGGCGAAATCAGGCTGATTTCGGACGGTTTGGAACAACTGGCCGATATGATGTCGCTCATCGGAGATGCAGGCGCATTGGGCAGTACGATTTATGGCGTTGCCACCGACCCAGATTCGGCAATCTTAGATATATTCGAACTTGCCTTGATGGGCGGTTATCGGACGCCGGAAGAGTTTGAAGAAGCTGCCAATGCCCGTCGCGCGCTGACTGATGATGAAATAAGTAGCCTGGGATCGGACTGGAAATCGTGGAGCGATGACCTCTCTGATGTGAGGTCGGTGTGTTATTGAAAGATACCTGATGCAAGATAGCCTTGCGCAATTTTCCCTTCATAAAGCATGTGTTATTAACCATGTCAAACATGTATTATAAGAGCAGAAGATGGACGATTACAACGGTCTCATACAAGCGGCTATTGGTTTGGGTGAAACGTAAACACATGAAACTTCCGTGAAGATCGATGTGTCTGCGTGCTTCACATTAGCGGACGCGACTAATACTGAGGTCATTGCAGGGTGATGAAGGAATATTTCAGAACGGGGGATTTTAAGATTAGATTAGGATTGAAGCTGGAGACCATAGTTGATGAACCGTGCACGGGATCCACAAACCTAATGTCGGGCCCTCCCGATCCTGACTCATTCCGCTATCAGCACGTGACCATCCCCGAACTCAGCTCCCATTTACGGCATCAGTTGGTTCGCGACGGACCTCGTCGAGCAATCTCCGGTTATATAGCCCCCAGTGCCTAGTCGGAACGCGGTATCTGAGTATCCTGGTGCTACCTAGCATTTGACACAACAGACTGGAACTTCTCCAGAGCGCAGTCGCGTTGCAGGTGTCGAAACCCCCACGATCTCATTACTGCGGCGCGGGGTCAACCAAGTGATAGAGTGGTCCGTTTCAAAGGCGCATCATACGCAGTCTGCTCCCTCGGAGTTTATCGGTCTCGAAACCATGCCATCTTCGGCTCCGGTGCCCTCGACGGGCTTTCAGGCCCTCATTCTATGTGGCCCCGGCGTCTCTCTCAACACCTTCACATCGAACCCGGAGGAGTACCCGAAGAGTCTCATTCCTATAGCAAACAGGCCCATGGTGTTCTATCCAATCGACTTTTGCAAACGATCAGGCATTACAGGTACGTTTGTGTTTAACTAATAACATGTCCCCCCGTCTTCATTCGGAGATCTTTCAATGACTAACTTTGCGGCTCGGCTCGTATTAGACATCACATTAATAACGCCCCCATCCTCCCTCGCCCCCCTTCAAGCCGCTCTAAAGCAAAACCCGCATCTCACATCGCTTCCTGCCCCCTCCGTGTCCGTCGTGGCCCCGAAAGACCTCGAAATGACCATGGGAACAGCCGA